TGTGTGTGTCAGTGTATTCCCCTCTGAAATCACGGTCTAATAAAAATTCTTTCCCTTCAAGAAAAAGGAGAGAATATTTGGTGATTCGCAAAAGAGAGAAATAAGACAAGAAGGACAAAAGAGAAAAATTGAAGAAAGAAATACTGGTGATCTTGGAAACTTACTGCCTCCCATCTGGGAGCTTAACAAGCTGCACAGTTGAGCTGGGACAGGGACCTTCCTAATAAGGGCACTCCATAAATCAGAAAGAGTTGCCTAAACTGTACACAGCTGATGAACTAGAGGTTCTCTGTCCTTATTTTCCTAAAAATATGCAGAACTTTGTAGCAAAAGGTCTGTCTCTTAGAGGCCTGCCCATAGTGTATACAGGCAGCAACACCAGCTTAACCAAGACTCTGTGTAGGGTAAGGAAAGCCACTTCTTTTCTACTCCTACCACAGTTTGAATAACCTGGATCTAATCATGGGAGCACATCATCAAACCCAAACAGAGCGAAATTCTAGAAAACAACTTGTCCGTGTTCTTCAACAGTATGTAGAATGTCAGTGTTTGAATTAAGGAGGCTAAGAGACATGACAGTCCAGGGCAATTCAGGGTCAGAGAGTTCTTTTTGCTTTGAAGAATGTTAATGAGCATCATTGGTAGCATCTGAATAAAACCTATAAATCACTAATAGCATTGTATCAGCGTTAACTTCCTGATTTTGATAGTCTCAAAGTGACTACGTAAGAGGATTGTTTTCATTTGTCAGAACACACACAAAAGTATTACGAAAGTATTTATAGGAAAAAATCATAAGGGTAATTACTATCATATGAAAAATCCAGGGAAGGTAAAGCAAATGTGGTGAAACATTAATCTCTGGGACATCTGGATGAAGGGATTTCAGACATTCTTTGCACGATTTTTGTAATTGTTCTCTAAGTCTGACTATTTGTCAAAGCAAAAGCTAAAAAATAGAATTGAAAATGAATAATGATCCAAGGTATTATTTATTAAAAAAGATTTATTTATATGTATGAAATACAGAGCAACAAAATCTGCTGTTTCACTTTCCAAATGGCTGCAACAGCCAGGTCTGAGCTACACTGAAGTCAGGAGCAGGAGCTCCATTCTCAACTCCCACACGAGGGACAGAGACCCAAGCACTTGGGATATCAGCCACTGCCTTCCCAGGATAATTAGTAAGAAGTTGTAAAGGAACTGGCACTCTGATATGGGATGCTGGTATCACAAGCAGCAGCTTAACTCATTATGCTACAACGCTGGCCCTGATGGAAAGGGTTCTTATATCGAGATTCCTACAACTTTAGTCCTTGATGGTATAAATATTGAGATTTTACAATCGTTAGTTTTAGAGAAATGAACCATAAGTCAATTTTTCAATTTCTCTATGTGCTCCTGATGTAGAATAAATGTTAATCCATGAGTTCAAATACACTTGAATAACTTTTTAGCCTCAAAAACATTTCTCATGCTTATTCTTTAACTAAGTTTTCCCAAAATAGAAAATGTCAAGCAAAACTGTGACAAATTAAATATATATTGAGTATCTGATTAGCTAACATTGATTTCTCATTAGTGGATTTATTAACGCATATTTCTTTGCCTGATTATGTAAAAATGCACCAGAAATTTCTTTATGTAAACAAAGACTTGGAGCTGGCGTTGTGCATAACGAGATAAGCCATTGCCTGAGAGACCAGGATTCCATTGTGCACTGGTTAATGTCCTAGTTGCTCCACTTCTGATCCAGCTGCCTGCTAAAAGCCTGAGAAAAGCAGCAGAAGATGGTGCAAGTGTTTGGCTCCTGCACCTACAGTGGAAACCGGAAAGAAGTTCTGGCTCCTGGCTTCAGCTTGGCCCAGCCCCAGTGGTTGTGGCCATCTGGGGAGTGAACCAGCAGATCTCTCTCTTTCTCTCAACTCTGATTTTCATATAAATAAATAAATCCTTTAAAAAAGCAAAAACACAGTCTAATGATGCCTATTGATGAAGAAATATCTGACAAAAGGAATTAGAGTATAGGGTGGAGGAAACAGCATTCTATTAAGAACCAAGAGACAGCTTAAATAACTAGTTAAGTAGTTCTATGACATTAGTCAAGTCACTTTATTTGAAAAACAAGCAGATTGGAAAGTTCTAACAGCTAACATTTATTGGGCTCTTGTGAGCTAACTACTTTATTTGAACCTAAATAATCTCCAAAGTCCTTTTAAACACGGACCATCTAACACTTGGAGCATAGCTCTTGTTGCAAATAACTATAGAAACACATGCTTGCTGCATCTTTTCTTTTACGACAATTCTTGGCTTCAGCTGTGGCATATGATGCTACTGCTTGCACAGAAACTCTATTGTGAGGTCACTAAATGGATAGTGATAGAGGAGACTTGCCTCTGTGTCCCAACATACTTTCATGGTTTCCTCTCGGACACTCACCCACTGGTTTTGATATTACATGCTTCCCTGTCTCCCCAAATCCGCTTCCAGACAGCTCTCCAAACTGATGTCCCCACTCAAGCTGCAGTCTTTCCTTCTGCTGACAAAACAGCCCCCCAGGAAGTCAGCTCTACCCAGCTGTTGGGTTGCTTGGGTCACTTTGCTCCAGGGCTCAGCACCTGCAGTGACAGCTGGGTTTCGAAAGCTTTACATAAGGGCAGATGTCCAGACTACAGCCCTGGAGGATTTACACACCGTGGGTGTGCTCTCAGTGCAAGGCGTGTTACAGGCTGACTAATCTAGGAACACAAACTAACCACAGTGTTTCCTGGAAAAGAAGTTGAAGAAAGAGAATGGCTGTAACCTTGTGAAAAGCTCCACCCTTCCTTCTGACCTAAAGGAAAAAACCTAAGCTGAGGAGGAGAAAATCTGCCCCTTCAGCTTCACCTCAAGCTACATCTCATCAATTCCATAATGTGGATGGGCTATATCCCCAAGATAGAGCCCTGCCCATGGGGAGGCCCACCATCTGCCAGGTCAGTGGACCCTTGCCCTCCACTTTCACGTGTAAAGTAGGAGAAAGGACTTCCCACTTCCTGTGGTCCTGCCAATCTGGCTTGTGATGCGACAATCTCACTTGCTCACTTTCATTTGTGCGGGTCTCGGGTTCACCTGTAGAGTGCCTTCTGTCTGGAATGCCAGTTCTCCCAGTCCCCACGGCAAACTCATGCTTCTTTGAAAGTGAATCTCAGCACTCGCATCCTCTCCCAGCGAGTCTCTAGTACATTCCTAAATCACCTTCTGTGTGCACTGTCCCTCCAGCACAGAAAGAGCACATTGCATTGTGCTTGTGTATTGCTGTGTCAGCTCTCCTTGCTGGGTTCTGCAAACGCTTGGAGATCGATGCCCACATCAGCAGTCCTTGTGTCTGCAGCACTGCGCACAATGCTGGGCCAGGGGTATGTTGTAGTTACAGGGCGGGGAAGAAGAACAGAAGTCTGAGGGTTTCTGGGAAGTCAGGGGTCAACCAGAGGTTATAAGAAACTAAGGACCAATGGATTTTGTCCTTTTTAGTTTGTACTTCTTGTCAAGGGACAAAAGTGGGATCACTCAGATGGCAGTAAAAGTAGCAGCAAAGGGATGGGTTTTGAATTATTCCCTGTGACTACAGATGTCCAACCCACTGTTTAAAAGTTAAATATTCTTAACAGGCCCACACAGGAAATGTCACAGGAAATCATGTTTCAGTTCACCTTCTACTCCCATTCAACCACAATTTCAAAACAGTGCAGATTCTGCTTGAGATTGAGAAAGCAAAACTTGAAGCTAGAATTCTGCTTTGGTTCAGCTGGCTTCCAAAACGCCTGCACAGTTATCTCTTATCTACCGTGTAAATTCCTTAGGGGCAGGACTCCCTGTTGAACAGATAACCCACTTCTATCTTGTCCCCACCAGTACTTTCCACAGTATCTGGCCTCAGGAGGCACCTAAGTCCTGGTGATTAAGTGAATGCCTGAGAACTTTGGTTCCTCATCTTCTAAGCCACGGCCCAGGAGCTCCTGAAGTACCTCAGAGTCTAGGGCTCTCTCCCGTCACCACCCCTCCTCCACAGCTACGTGAGTGTGGTCACAGGGGACTTTCCTCTCTTCCTCCCAGAGTCTAATCAAGCGAGATTCTCGCAGGCCTCTAGAGAAGTAAGCTCCGACACAGAGCTCCCGCGGTGCCCAGCAACTACCGTGGTGGTCAGGACCAGAGCTGGCTACCCTGTGACTGAGTCCATGTCACCTCGGACATTAGTTATGGCACACAGAAAGTTGTGGCTAGGTCAAGTTTGTGGGTTGTCTTTCAAATTATATTTACCAGCATTCCTGTTTTGCGTACAGGGGCAAGTTAATGTGGGTATGCCTTAAGAGCCACTACACACTTCCTGTAGGGACACTAAGCATCCCTTAGTGCTATGTAGCTTCCACCTCTTAACATCCAGTTACTAAAAATAAATACGTACTTTAAAAAATCATCCAGTTACTGAGCACATCTGATGTGTTCCTTTAACCATCCTTCTATTTAGCGGCTGTGGGGAGTCACAGTGGAAATCACTAACTTCCCTTTTGAATGTTTCTCAAATGAAGAAGACCCACGTCTCCCAGCGGTCTTTCTACATGGCTCCAGCCGTGAGTTCTCTCCTCACTTTAAAATCACAAGACCGATTTTCTAAAGACCTGAGCACAAGGAAATCGTTCCAACTTCATCTCACACAGAGAGCTCCAGGCATCAGAAGTTACCGGACAAAGCAACTCAAGCATGGAATGCCAGGCCCAAAGAGACATCAGGCAAAAGGAGCTTGATTAAATGAACATTTTGGGGCCTGGCTGCCTTCGGAGACGTCACTGGGATCTCAATGGCTGTCTCTACTTCTTCCTGCCCTCAGTATTTGTGAAACAAGAGTTGTGGATTTCAGAGTTAGTACAAGGATGTAGAGACTCGTAGACAGACACCCTCCCCTACACAAAATGATCCAGAGCTCTGCTTTTGAACCAGTTCAATGTCATCAGTCTTACCTTATTCAGGCACTGCTCCTCAATCCTTTAGGCAGGCTTCTGTGATTATACTTGAAGTGGCTGTGACAAGGCTGCTAACCCGGATGTCGGGAGATATTTGTGTAAAAGGAGAAGTGGAGGGTGAAAAAAATACGATCACGTTGTGACGACAGGAAGCCCAAATGAGCGGAGGGAGGAAGTGAGGTTGAGTCCTCCGTCTTTAGCTTCAGAGAGTCAAAGCGTCCCCCGAGGCTTTTCAGAAGCTTTCTGTTGAAGCCTACCCTAAACGGCTTGCTGTGACACAGGGGAAAAGCCAAGGACCAAGATGTGGGAACCAGCCTGTGACCCACCGAGGTGGGTCCTGGGTGGCCTCAGACATGATTGTTGTTTGGAAAAAAGGAGACTATTTCCCAATCAAAGTGGGACCTCAGAATTCCCCATGAGTCTGCTCAGGCACAAGGGTGCCTGGCCCCATGGCCAGCATCTCCCACTCGGGTGGACTGAGCAACAGGGGGGGCCAAAGAATCAATGCTCTCTAAAGCTTCTAAAGACCAAAATTTAGCAATGCCTTCCTGAAGGCGCTCTGCCCTCTCCCCACGCTCTTCAGCTGGCTTTGGGCAGTCTCTGGGCTCCTCTTGGATTGGGCAAGACTTTTCTGCCTCAAAAGCAAGAGTTTCCTTATGTGAGAGGATGGTCACGGGCAGTTCCCAAGGCTCAAGTTAAGGGGCACTGGTAGAAAAGAGGCAGTTAGTAGAGGGAGCCTTGTCTCTGCAGCCCATAGGTCTGCTTTCGGTCCCTGCTTCAGCTCGGCCGGCTGTGCAATCCAGAGCACATCTCAACCTCTCAACCTCAACGTCTTGATAGTAACACCCAACAGGAAGCCACTACTTACTGTTCCTGTTCTATCCCCATTTGTAGATTAGAAAGCAGAGGCTCAGAACGGTTAGAGAATTTATACAATCACGCAAAGAAATGGCAAAGCTGGGACTCAAATTCAAGAAAGCTGTTTGAGAAACATTATGACCAGTAGATTTTTAAAAGTCGTTTCCAGTGTCCCCTCTGCTTCATCTACTGGAATTTTCTTGGGCTGAAATGGTCAAGGGAGAAGTGACAACCTGATTGTGTCACTGGCAGCTTGAGACTTGGAACAAATCACTGAGCCCCCGTTTCTTCCTCTGATAAGTGGATACATGGATGGCTCTCTCTCCCGAGGGCTTGACCTGGAAGCTCACACTGGGGAAAGTCATCTCTCTCTGTCTCTTCTTTCACCCTGAGACATGTAGACTCTGGAGTGTTCTCTGACCAGGGCTGGCTCATGGGGAAACTGAGTCAAACAAAGAGGGAAAGGCTTTTTTTTTCTTTTTTGTTTTACTGCAGAACTTGTCAATCCTTAATATTCTCTAAGCAGAGGGAACACTGTTGAGATTTTTCCCAAACTTATCTGATGCTGGAGCAATGTGTGTGTGTGTATGTGTGTATACACGCATGCACAGGCACACATACACACATGTGTGTGATCCTTCTGAAGAAAACAACTTGTTGACTTAAGTCAGGTTGTGCTGTCCTAAGGTCCCCTCTCTGGGGTGTCTGACACTGCCCTCCACTTGGGGCTGTGGCTCTGCTGGGCCCTCGCTGTGGAGCTGGGGAGAGGCTCCCCTCTCGACTCCCATTTTCCAAGTTACAGCACCCATTCCTCTGGCTTCCTTTGCTGTCACTCCACAGGGTCACAACTCTGCACATGCGTGGCCCCAGCACTCATTTCTACCCCACGTGCATCTAGTCAGGTGTCTCCCAGGCTCCTGAGTTCGGTACCCTGATCCAGTTTACCCCCAATCCAGCTTCCGCACCATGTCCACCACCCCAGAGGAGAGCTGACGCACCTCCCAGCTGCTCACATCAGAAGCCAGGGGTCTGTTTAAGCTTCTGGCTCTATCACAACCCCGTCCCTCACCAACCGCTATGTCCTGTGGTGTCCTGTGAAGTCCTGTGAAGTATGCTCCTGCCAAGCACTGCTCCAGCCGGGTCTCTTCTCTCCAGCACCACAGTCATTACATTGATCTTCACCTCTCACCTGCCGTCAGATGCTGGCGCTTCCTCGCTCTGCCCCAGGAGGAGAAGACTGCCTTCAACATGCAAAGTTGATACAGCACGGGCCAGCTTCAGCTCCCAGCCAGCCCCACCTCCACACCACACCCTGGATAACACAGGACACCAAATTCCTCTGATTTGTTTGAATGACTCAGTCTATTCTCTCTCCCCATCCCACCCCCCCCTCCCGCTCCCCCAACCCCAGCTTCTCACCTGACTCATTCCTAGCTATCTCTCATATCTCAATTACTCCAGAAAGCCCTCCAAACAAGACCAGGCACTCCTGCTATGTGTTCCCACTGCCTGCCCCATCACTCATTATTCCTCCTTGGCTACTCTCGCCACCAGACTCAGAGCTCTCACATTCTGCTTGGCTGTGTGCATGTTGAGTGATCTTGCTCAGTATTGCGTTTTTAGTGCCTCCCGTCAGGTCTGGTGCCAAGAGCAGTGCTTTATAAGCATTTGAATACTTTCTGGTAGTGTGAATCCTAAAAGTCAGAAGGACTAGAGATTTGGGATAGTAAGAGGGAGTAAGAGGAAGAAAGAAATAAGTAGAAGGAACATCCGTGGATGGGATGGGTAAGAACTTCTCAGGCCAAGAGTTCCTCACAGGAAAGGTGGATGGCCATTGTAGTGGGGGAATTTGTCCCACCAGGAAGGGCTCATTCAAGTCCTTGAATTTCAGGGGTGACCTTGGCCCAAGGGTGGGGCAGGGGTGGAGAACAGAATCCTCACTTAGACCCAAACCTACAAGATTTTGTTGATAACTAAAGCTGCTGTTTTAAAAAGCTGTGTTTATTTATTCTAAAGGCAGAATGACAGATAGGGAGAGATCTTCTATCCACAGCAACTGGGGCTGGGCCAGGCCAAAGCCAGGATCCAGGAGCCAGGAACTCGATCTTGCTCTCCCACATGGGTGGCAGGAATCCAAGTACTTGTGCCATCATTCATTCATCATTCATCATTCGTTTCACTGCATCCCAAGTGCGTTAGCAAGAAGCTGACCAAGAAGCAGGAAGCAGGAAGTAGCCAGGACTCAGACCAGGCATCTGGCCTGGCGTGTGGGTGTCCCACACAGCAGCTCAACCCACTGCACCACCATGCCTGTCCCTGGTGCTGCCTTTGACCACCAGATGTTTACAATGCATTGGAACATGAGCAAAAACAAGCGGGGAGCAAGAATGTGGGGAACCCCATGCTGTTGGGTAATTGGCATGAATGCTCAAAAGCTTTGAAAAAACTACATTAGAAAAAGGATTTAGCAGAATCTCAGACTCACGGTTTGCTCTTCTCGGTGCATAGAACACTATCAACCACCACAAGTGATAATGAAACCTGCGAGTTCAGGAAGCTCAGCCAGAGATATAATGCTCCACAGGTCTCAGAGCAGACACAGCTACTCTCTGGGATGGCAGCAGCGGCTATGACACCTCCCTCCTGTCCACCAGCCCAGGCTTGACTGTATCCCGCCCATCCATCACTAAAAGACGGCATAGAGCTGGCACAAGAATCAGGAACTTATAGATAATTTACATTCCACCAACAGTACATAAAAGTTCCTCTTTCTCCACATCCTTATGAGCTTTTGGTATATTTTATTTGATAATATCCATTCCCGCCTAGAGTGCAATAATATTACTCTGTGGCTTTAGCTTACATTTTAATGAGAATTAGTGGTGTTGATTTAGTGGTGAATGATTTTTTTCTCATATTTATTGACCCTTTGTATATTTTCTCTTGAGAAGTATCTATTCTGATTACTTGCATACTTTCGAATTAATGTTTGGTTTTTGTGTTGCTGAGTTTTTTGAGTTTTTTGGATATTAATCGCTAGTCAAATTAATAGTTTGCAAATATTTTCTACCATTCTGTAAGCTGTCTCTTCACTCTGTTGATTGTTTTCTTTATGGTGTAGAATCTTCTTAGTGTGATCTAGTTTTGTTTATTTCTGCTTTTGTGGCCTATGTTCTTAGTCCATATAAAAAAAAATCCCATTGCCTGTATCAGTGTCTTGGAATGTTTCATCTTTGTTTTATTCTAGTAGTTTTGTAGTTTCATATCTTAAATTTAGATCTTTGATCCATTGTGAGTTGTATTTTGTATATGATAAGAAATGGCGATCTGGTTTCATTTTGCTGCAAATGAATATCCAATTTTACTTAAGAAGCTGTCCTTTCTTCAACCGAGGTATCTATAGCAAATAAATGGATAAAGAAAATGTGGTATATATACACAACAGAATATCATTTTAGCCATAAAAACTGAAATATTGTCATTTGCAACAAAATGGATAGAACTGGAAAATATTATGTTAGTGAAATAAGCCAGGCACAGAAAAACAGATACCGTGTCTTCTCATTCATATGTGGAAGCTAAGGGACTTTGTCTCACAGAAGAGAGTAGCATAGTGATTTGTAGCATAGTGATTTGTAGAAGGATATGGGAGAGGGAATAAAGAGAGTATGGATAATGGATATCAAAATATGGAGTGGAAAATAAGTTCTAGAACTTAACAGTAGAAGAGAGTAATTATTGCTTACAGCAGTTTATTATATATTTATAAAGAACTAGAAGTAATGAGTCTATATTCTCCAGAGATAAATAATAAATGTATGAGGAGATGAAATGCTAAATAATCTGATTTAGTCATTCTAGATTATATACATGCACCCCTCAAATATGTACAATTAATTTGTTTCAACTAAAATAAATTTTAAAAATATAATGCTCTGGTGGTTGGTGGCACAGTGGGTTAAATAGCTACCTGTAATACTGACATCAAACGCCCATTTTGGCACACCAGTTCTAGTCCCAAATGCTCTGCTTCCAATCCAGCTTCCTGCTAATGTACCTGGGAAAGCAGCTGAAGATGGCCCAAATAGTTGGTCCCTGACACTCTTGTGGGAGACCCAGATGGAATTCCAGGCCTGGCCCAGCCCTGGGGAGTGAACTTGCAGATGGAAGATTCATTCTCTCTCTCTCTCTCTCTTTCAAATAAATAAATCTTTTAAAAAAATAAAATAAAGTTAAAATCCAGTGCTGGTAGCTGTGAGATACAAAATGACCTGTAGGAGCTGGTCAACCTAGAAACTTCAGTCTCCTCCAAATGCTGTCTCCTTACTCTCAGCCAGAGACGTCAAATGTGCTTGACTTTATAGGATATTCATTAGGCCAAACATGACCCCTATGTTTTTTATGTTTTTGTAGCAGAAAAATAATGGAAACTATGAACAAAAAAAAAAAAGTCTAGTAAAGAGGAAAAAGAGTACATATGCATTTACGAGTATAGTAGGAGAAGTGTTTATTCAAATGAAGTTTTAAATGGAACAGCCATAAATAAGATAGATGAAAGCAGAACTGCTCAGGATCGCAAGGGCAGGCCAGAGACTGTTCACCCTCTTTCCTCCTTTGGTAGCTTCTTAGACACTTTTGCCCAACTCTAAGGAAAAGAAAATCCTGGTCCAGGTGGCCAGACTTCTGGGGACCTGGCCAGGGTTGAGATTTATAATCAGTCACAGTACCAGGAAGGTGGTTCCTTTGGTCCTGCATCTCTCATTCACTTGGAAGGAGCTCCCAGACTTCAGGTTTCACTGTTGCAGCTCGATAGAAATAGACAGCATTTCCAACCCAACACCTTCCCTTTCCTGCTTGTGACTTCCTGCAGAAGGAATAGTGGGGAGATATCGCTCCCAGTTGACAGTAATCCGCTGGTCACAAAAACCTGAGGCTTCATCACCTAACTCAAGGTTATAATCTTGTAGGAAGTGCACTGCAGGCTCAGTGCTAGTGGGGTGTTAATGGTTCTGGCACATGTGGTCAAATAACACACTCTTTCCCTGCCAAATAAAACAAAACAGCATCCTAGAGGCAGCTGTGGCATGTACTTTGTAACTTCTGTGTCCCTGGACAAGAAGAGAAGCCACTAGTTGGTAGTCAGCATGGTCCTGGGGAGAAACTTGGACTCAGAAAATAGAAGCAAAGGGACAAATACCATATGTTCTCCCTGATCGGTGACAACTGACTGAACACCAAAAAGGAAACCTGTTGAAGTGAAATGGACACTATGGGAAACGGTGACTTGATCAGCATAGCCCTGACTGTTAATGAACAACTTAATACATTATCCCTCTTAGTAGTTTTTTTGTCTGTTCTACTTAATATGACTGGTTTAATTCTGTAATTAATACACAGTTATTCTTAAGTGTTGAAAACTAACTGAAATGTGATCCCTGTTAAACATAAGAGTGGGAATAAGAGAGGGAAGAGATGTACAATTTGGGACATGCTCAAGCTGACTTGCTCCAAATGGTAGAGTTAGAAACATACCAGGGGATTCCAATTCAATCCCATCAAGGTGGCATGTACCAATGCCATCTCACTAGTCCAAGTGATCAATTTCAGTTCACAATTGATCATAATGAAAGGACAAAGAGTCAAAGGGAGCACATAAACAAGTCTAGTACCTGCTAACACTAATCGATAGAATAAATAAAGGGGAGAGTGATCCAACATGGGAAGTGAGATACTCAGCAGACTCATAGAATGGCAGATGTCCTAAATAGCACTCTGGCCTCAGAATCAGCCCTAAAGGCATTCGGATCTGGCTGAAAAGCCCATGAGAGTATTTCAGGCATGGAAAGCCAAGACACTCTGGCAAAAGATCTCTGCGAGTGAGATCCCAGTGGAAAGAGCAGGTCTTCAAAGAAGGAGGTACCTTTCTCTGAAGGGAGGAGAGAACCTCCACTTTGACTATGACCTTGTCTAAACAAGATAAGAGTCGGAGAACTCAGAGGGCTTCCATAGCCTTGGAAACTCATGACTGGAGCATAGGGAGATTACTGATGCCATAGACAGGAGTGTCAATTGGTAAAGTCAACAACAGGAGTCACTGTGCACTTACTCCTCATGTAGGATCTCTGTCCTTAATGTGCTGTGCATTGAGATTTAATGCTATAACGAGTACTCAAACAGTATATTTCACTTTGTGTTTCTATGGGGGTGCAAACTGTTGAAATCTTTACTTAATGCATACTAAACTGATCTTCTGTAAAAAAAAAAAAAGAAAGAAATGATCAATTCCCAACTTGACTCTCACTGGGATTAAACATGACAATAGGTCTGATCTGATTTCATCATCATTTAAAAAAATCATCTATTATTTTTCACTTTATGTTTCTGTGTGGGAGCAAACTGTTGAAATCCTTACTTAATGTATACTAAGCTGATCTTCTGTATATTAAGATAATCGAAAATGAATCTTGATGTGAATGGAAGGGGAGAGGGAGTGGGAAAGGGGAGGGTTGCGGGTGGGAGGGACGGTATGGGGGGGAAGCCATTGTAATCCATAGGCTGTACTTTGGAAATTTATATTCATTAAATAAAAGTTAAAAAAAAAAGAAAATAGAAGCAATGGATTTTAACCTTTGTTCTATAATTACCCAGGGAAAGTCTACCTAATCCCATGGAGATCACTCCTCTCTCTCTCTCTCTCTCTCTCTCAGATGATATAGACTGGGTAATTCACATTCTACCTGGGCCTTAAAAATGCAGAGCATCTGGGACTGGCACTGTGGCATAGTGGGTAAAGCTGCCACCTGCAGTGACACCATCCCATGTGGGTGCCAGCTCGAGTCCTGGCTGCTCCTCTTCTGATCCAACTCCCTGCTAATGTACCTGGGAAAGTAGTGGAAGATGGTCGAAGTCCTTGGGCCCCTGCATCCATGTGGGAGACCCAAAAGAAGCCTCTGGCTCCTGACTTTAACCTGGCCCAGTGCCGGCCAATGTAGCTTTTTGGGGTGTGAACCAGCAGATGGAAGATCTCTCTCTCTCTCTGTGTCTCTGTCTCTGTTTCTGTCTCGGTCTCAGTCTCTCCCCCCCCCCCCCGCTTTTTCCTCTGACTTTCAAATAAATAACTCTTTTTTAAAAAAATGTAGAGCATTTGTCACGTTATTTATGTAATAGTTCTGGCTAGGATTTGATACAGAAAGTGGAGCCTAGAAGAAGAGTTGCAGAGCTCTTCATATACAAAGCTCTTCTTGTGGGCCAGCCAGGGCAATGTACATGTTCTCACCCAGCAGCAGCATGACAGGCATGGCCTTTCATCCTTTTCAGAGAGACAGGAGGCTAAGGCTACTGAGTTTAGGTAACTTACCCAAAACTGCAGTGCTAGACAGTGGTAGAGCTTTCATTCAAAACTTGCCCAGGACACAAAGCCTGCTCTCTCATCCAGCCGTTCAGCTTCACCCAAAGTTAATCTGACGCTGACCCTTGCTGCTGGTGACCTACCTGCAGATAATTGAAAGCTGACAACTTGCACTCTTTCCACGAGTACTCTAAGATGATCAAAACAGTACTCTCCTAGTTTATAAGGGCTGAAAGAAGAGGCGACTCGCTCGTTTCAAAAATTATTTACTTATA